GATTAAAAGACAGTTGCACAGCGAACATTCATGCGTGGAACAGTCTGGACTGCGTGAGTAGTGGGCGACTTGCTGTACGTAACTAGCCAAGTGCACGTGGCAGCTGCTCACTGTCTGGAACAGATCGAACAGACCGGATACGTAGACAGGTCCCATGGCAAAATTTCCAGAGTGGTTGCAAAACTGCGTCCGCGCTAGTTGGAAATGTTCACATTCGTTCTGCCGCTCGTATACATGCCACCGTCATCACTTGAGGATTCATTCCTGAGCATTAAAATCTGTACCGAGTTCTAGTTATGCATGCAAAGCACTGAAAACAAACAGTTTGCTTCTTTACAAACGTTGTTTCGGGAGATTAGCCAGAAGCTACATGGGTGGACAGACTGGCAGCGGCCGCAATGGATTCAGCCAGTAGTGCAAAACGAGACACGTTAGGGCATGTGGACTTGCTGCTGCTGCACCTTCTTCTAATTGCAGTGTTCGTTGCAATAGTAATTCAAACGAAACTCTGGATGAAGGTGTCCTTTTCAAGGCCATCAGCTTTGTCGTGCTGCGTGGGTAGTTCTCGTTTACGCCGACACTTTTGCCACCGTTGCAAAATAATAACGAAGCAACTTGGAGCGTGCTGCACTCTCTGGAAGACGAGGAGTCAGAGGGTGAATCGGAGCACACGCCCGTGGTCGGGGCAGTTCGCCGCTAGAATTGCCAATGAACGGATGTCTCTCTTTCACGCCCGAGCGACGAGTCATTTCGCTACATTGTTGGTGCCGCGAAACCCGGGACTGCCTTTCGAGAGACTTCATTTGACGTAATGGCCACAGCGAACCCTAGACTACCTTCGGCTCAATCAGATCTGGTGTCACCCTAGCCCTCGAACTTCTAACAGACCTCTTGCAGCAACCGGATCTCGACGCCTCGCAGACTAACGGCCACATGGATTACCTCAAAGAGAAGGAGGCAGTACCTGTCGAAGCTCGATGCACATTATCCTTGTGACTACAGATGAAGAAATTCTCTACGCGGTGTCGCGCACCAAGTTCTGACTTCAAGAACATTAGAGGATGGCCAGAACTACAGGGCTCAAGCAACTGAGCCCGGACCCCTACTTTGAATCTCTGAATTCCGCCGACGCAGTAGGCCAGGCGAGATAGTCCGTCAGCGTTCAGTGAAACTACGGAAGCTACAGATACCGACTTTGGATAGTAGTCTCAGTGGATGGCAGTCTTTTTGGGACCATTTAAATGCTACCATCCATAAGAATACCGAGCTGCCACGCATTGAAAAATTTAAGTACCTCCTCACCTAGTTAACCGGAAGCGCGATGTCGCAAGCATCTGTCTAGCAGAGCAAAAGTACGATCTTGCAATAATGACCCTCACAGATCGCTTTGGACGCCAGGACCTGCTTGTGAACGAGCATGTTGATTATCTCCTTGCGCTAAGCTCTGTGAAAAGCTCGTCAGAGGATCTCAAAGCTCCGTATGCTGTACGATAGTGTGCAGTTCCACGTTAGTGCCTTGAAAGGCCTCGGAGTTGCACCCGACCAGTACACCGTGGTTTAAACCGTGTCCTCATGCGATGTCTGCCAGAGGATCTTGCCATTATGTACAAGCAGAAATCTATGGAATCAAACGGCACCTTCAGCATCGTCGTAACCCCTAAAGACCAAACACAACTAGGCAAGGCGTTACTAACGTTTGTTTCTTCGCATTCAAGTGAGGAGGGCCGGCTGTGAGAAACCAGCCCTCCTCACAGTCAGCCCTGTGAGGAGGGCCGGCTACAATCTCGTTTTGCGTCGCAACAAGAACCCAGGACGCACATATCTGAAGAAATGTATGCCGTGGAACGCATACCATCAGTGTCAGCACTAACCGAATCTACACTGCTTGTTAGACCGCCGTGCCCACTATTTCAAACCAACGATCATGTTATCGCTGTCTGCAACGCCAACCTATCACCTGAGGAGAAGCGAGCAAGGCTGCAGTACGCCAATTGTTGCTTCCCCTGCGGAACACGAAACCACGTCGCTAGAATGTGCAGGAAGTCATTAAATATTAGGTGTAGTACCTGCCAGCGACGCCACTTGACCATCCTCTGCGAGTTATCACGCCCAGCCGAAGATCCGCACCCCAACGCAGGATCCACAACTTTTTCTCAATCACCCCCATTAACCATGCGAACGGTCACTACCACCCAGAGTCACAGTTGAGTCCACTCACGTATTGTTACAGATAGGTCGAATTTGGGCAGAGTCTGGAGACCACCTGACTCCTCGTGCGGGTACTGCTGGACAGAGGCAGTCAGCGCACCTACATTCGTGCAGACCTGGCAAGGATGCTTCAGTGCTCCGTCATAGGAAAAGAAGAGCTCTCCCTTGTCACTTTTGGAGGATTCAAGTCACAAAGGCCGCTCTGCACTGAGCGTGTCAACGTGCGGCTTTGAAGCCAGTTCAACAGTTTAGCGATTACCTTAGAAGCGTTAACGATTCCTGAAATTCGCTCTGTCACAATTCCACCGCTCGACCCCAACATTTTGCACTGGCTCGACGAACGGGGGTACAATGCAGCTGACAGCCTTCAACCAAATGCATGGCAACTCAAAAAGAGATAAGCTTTCTCATAGGATCTGACGTTTATTGGCAAGTTGTCACTGGGAAAATCCATCGCATCAGCAGAGGTACAATTGCGATCGAAACTACTTTTGTATGAATAGTGCAAGGCCCTATGAAGTCTGACTTCTGCTCCCCGTCTAGCGCGCTGTTTGCCGTGAGTCACGTTTGTGCTACGAACATCGACGTATTATCACTGTCACCTCTCGATGCTATCGGAATTGATGGAACGCATTCTCGAAACTTTGAGAAGCACCACTTGCAATCTGCATTCGAGCAGGGAAATAAGTGGCATCAACTTGATGACGCCGTGGCCAGGAGAAGGAACATGAAACAATCTGAGATGCCAGGCCAGCGAGGCAACAGTCATCGTGAATGCACAAGTTTTCGTAATCACTAGTGCCATGGTGGTAACGCGGGCCTTGCGCGAGTTGTTCCAGACCAGCCATGGTCGCATCTTCGACATTCGTCACGTCGAGTACGCCGCTTTCAAGTACGCCAGGAACAATATGTGCCTTATAATGCTTCGGTCTCAAGTACTGTGAAGGTGTACGACAGCCGCAAATCAATGACTGCAAAGCTCAGACACTGCCGGAAGCAAAGAGAGCAGCGTGCTAGAAGTTACGTGCTGTTCATCAACTGCAAAAGCACGCTCAAAAACATTTCGACCGCAGAACACAGAAGGAACGCAAGGAGCCCAACAGTTCCTTCGAGGACAATGTCTAGGATAAGGGCAACTTGGCACAGGGAAACTCTTCGGACTACTTGCCTCACTTTGACCTATACGCCATCCCTTCGAGAGGATACATATATATGGTTTGACTGGAGAAACCCCATGAGGTTTATAAGCCTGGCTCAACACTAGAATCACCGGCAAACCGTATAAATTGTCCCGTTAACGCAACTCAGTTAGGCATTAGACCACGAAGATGTCGGAACTAGCGATCCTTGACAAGCTCAAGCGCTTCGCACCGTCCCATTGCTTACTGACGGATCGAGACATCTCGCTACGACACCATATATCCCCCTTGGGGCTTTCGAAAGAACATGTATCGCAACCGTAAGGTTCGTCATTGCCAACACCTTCCAGTTGGCCAGCGGAAAACATGCCAGCGAGCCGCCTACCTATCTTTGTCAGGTCATATTGCTAAACTGCGAAAGTTTCACCTTCGACACGTGTGATTCATCTTGGGGCCCCGTGGGAGGATGTTGCAAAATAATAATGGAGCAACTTGGAGCGTGCCGCACTCTATGGAAGACGAGGAGGCAGAGAGCGAATCGGGGCACGCGCCCGTGGTCCGGCAGTTCGCCGCTAGAATTGGCAATCAACGGACATCTCTCTTTCACGTCTGGGCGACGAGGTCATTTCGCTACAGCCACCATGTTGAATGTACGGCTGGTTGCTTACATCGCATGTTTTGAGTGCTAGTGCAGCCAGTGTAGTCAAAGCTGTAGCAGAAAGGAGATTCGCTATCATGTAGTGGCAAAATTGGTCACAGACCGATTTTTTCGCGTCAGCCTCTAGGCAGGGTTTTCCGCACACTTTTCCAGTGGCGAGGCGAGGGAAATTCTGGTGAGTTTTGCCACATTTGCTCCCGTCGAGGCCAAGTGTGAACGCGCCTTCGTACCACTGACAAGCTGCGTTGTGTCACTCGCGTGCAGCGGTCAGTCGTGCATTCGGATCATTTGCGGTAGCTGGGGAAACCGTTCTATAACATTGAATCATGATGTATTTTATATAATGTAGTTTATCCAAAGCAACCTTAAAATTGGTATAAACATGAAATTCGCGTCAACTGTAAATATATTATCGTGATTCTACTGTACTATGTACCCTTACGTAGAAAAACAGAGCACTCAACTGGTTCAAAGTATTCATTAGAAAAGACAGGGCGCATAAACATAGATGTAAGACAGACACTCAAGATATCTGCGCGTCCTGACTTCCTTCGTATGTCTGTGTCTGCCCACCCTGCCTTTTAGAGTGTACCCTTAGGTACATTTTAATATGTACCCTTTGAATGTACCCTTAGAATGTACCTTTATGTACATGTACCCTTAGGTACCTTACATTGTAAGTTTAGTACATGTAAAAACTACATACAACATTACTAAGTTACCAATTGAATCAAGTAACTTTTGAAGTAGAGGCTAGAAGTGAGAGCTCCTTGATCCAGGAATGTCACTGGAGCCAACTTTGTGACAATCAAACAAATAAAAATTTCAAGATATCAATTTTAGTTTCTTAGGTATTTTGAAATGCGAGAGAGAATACATAGTATGGCGAAATTCAGGGATAGTCATCTTTTTATCATTGTACCTGCGTTGGCTTGACTGTATATGGGGTATTCTAGCAGATCTTGCTCCATTTATTATTTGCACTTGCAATGCAGGTACGGAAGCGTGCCGTCGCCTTCTTCGATGACCTGTGCCAGCTTCTCCGTGGATCGTACCCCACGGAAGACCAGGAAAACCTGAGCCCCAGCAAGCGGAAACGTGAGGAACAGTCGCCGTCACTGCCATCATCGCTGAGCAGTTCCCCATCCTCGTTCCCGCCTCCTTACAACTCCCCATCATCGACGGCGCCACCATTTGCCGACGAACTCATCCGTGCAGCGCTCAGCCCAAGCGCCGATGAATCCAGCGTTGCGGCAGCCGCAGACCCGGCCCCCAACGTCTCTCTCTCTCCGCTCATCGAGCAGTGGCCATCGGCCGGCGGCAACAACCCGCCGCGGAAGCTTTCAGCCTGCAGTTCATCGGACGAAGGCGACGGTGTCGGCGGAGGCGCGCTTTTGGCGAGCGTCCTCGTAGTCAGCCATGGTGCACTCCTGCGCGAGATGGTGCGGCACCTCGTCGAAGACCTCGGCTGCTGCGTGCCGGGTGGTCGCAACCAGGCAATGCGCATCAGCCCCAATGCGGGGATATCCAAGTTCACTGTGTCGGGACCGCGCGAAAAGCCGCGCATTGTTTGCCACTTGATTCACGACCGGCAGCACCTAATGGGCGGCAGCGCCTGCCCCATCGTGAGCGCAGCGGAGGCAATACCGCGGAGGCGGGAGGTGCAGACAGCTGGCTTGTCCGCGGATGCAACGGCACTGTAATTAGGCAGAGGCGCTGGATTTGAGCAAAACACTGGGGAACTGTGAACTGAACCGTCTCGTTTTTCTGTACTGAAAGCACCTTGTGTTTTGTTTTATTTTTACTTCCTGATCTATTATGAAAATGGCAGCGGCTGAAGTGTTGGCATGGCTGTCACATAAGGCTTTCCATGAGCCTTATGGGCTGAAAAAGACGTCAAGGCTGCCTGCCGACTTCAGAGCTTTTTAAGTGGCTGGCAGCAGTGACGGGTCTGTCATTTTTCGTGTCGGATGTGTGCTGCTCACTTTTTGCACATTGGTGCAATTTGTTTTTGTTTGTTTTTTCCATGTTGAAACAGTATTTTTGCACCTCAGAAAAACGGGGCTGTCTACATTGCTAGAAGAGGGGCACTTTTTACTTCATACGTCCTAAATACGCTCGCCTTCTTTCAGAGGTCCTTTTGTTTTGCAGTGAAAATTGTCATTTGCACTGCACATCCGTTCGCTTCAGGTTGCACACTGTCAGCGTAATGAGACATTGTTAACATTGAAGTAGCGAGTGCTATTTTGGTAAACGTGAGCAAATAGGATGACAATTATTGCGGATAGAAAGACACATCGAAGGCTGTGATTGTGTTTAGAGTGCAGTGTCAGCATCGTCCGCATATCCAACAGATAGGAGTAGTAGTGAAGTGCGTGGAAAGTGCGACCGGTTTGCCCTTCTTTACTTTTCCTTTTTTTGCGCTCAGATGGCGTGATTGCTTTAGTTTTTCATGTTGTTTCAATCGTCTCTGTTTACGCGGAAACAGTATTTGAATCTTATATGACACTAGGACATTTTCTACAACTGAAGCAGAAAAGGCAGGAGCATACTTTTTTCCAAGTGCCGTGCGGCCATTTTTTTCTTTATATAAATAACATTTTATCAACGAGTCGTGGTCAGAGACAGGCGGCTTTCAATAGTCGGCAGCATCAGATCATATTCTGTAAGATTGTTGAATGTTAGTCCAGTCTCACCAAAGCGTGCTTCGGAACCCGTTCATTTGTGTTTCCATCTCGTAACACCAGTGTTTCAGAATACTAGTAATTCATTCTTTCTGGAACCGGTTCACTCGTGGTTCCATTTTGCGACACCGGTGTTTCAGAATGGTGATTCATTGTTTGTCTCCAGGTCTGGGGCTTGTGTGCTTGTGTTGGCAGAGTTTATCTGTTTTTAATTGTGACTGAAGAGCTATGGCTTCGTGTTATTACCCCTACATGCTCCCCCATCTTGTAACCTTTATCATGTGTTTCATCGTTGTCCTGGGCATCCAAGAAAGAAAGCTAACACGATGTTTCACAGTATGGACCGACTATTCACCAGTTGCAAATTTGTCCCCGTAATGCACTTTTTGTTGGGGTCTTCCTTGTAATCTATGCGTAACAAGCATTTCGTACTTAGAAAACAAAAGCACTGCTTCTATGATGTAAACACATGATGGATAAGATTGAATTTTTTTGACACTTGTGACTATGGAAACATAATGGAGTGTTTATTTTCCTGTGCACCTGCAAAGCTTTTGTGTTGTCAGTATGTTTGTAATATAGTAAACCCACCTTTTCATTTTTGTTTTTTGGTTGCCCCAGTTATTTCTTCGTTGCTTCATTAAAGAAAATACAGAAATCGAATGAGCTTGCTAGCCCTCTGCCTCAGCTGTCTTAAATGCTTTTGTTTTGTAATATAAAATCCTTGTGAACTATTTTATTAAGTGCAGCAGAGCAGTTTTTTTAGCAATAGTAACCAAACGAAATCTGTGGGATCTTGAAAGAGAGCTGCCTTATCTTAATTTGTTAGGATGTTGTATACTTCGCCAGACATGGACAGTTTTTTTTTTTTCTCGTGAACTACAAACTTTCGTTACCCAAGGAACTTTCATTAATCAAACACACTCTTTAGTGTTGCTTGACAGTTTCAAAACGTTTTTTCATGCAAGAAATCTAATGAAATTTGAAAAATCGAGTGTTGCATAACAGCAATGCTAATACGCATAAGCTAGTCTAACGGCAGTCAGCCTAATCGGAAATCTTCGAATAACGGGATTCTGTTACTTTGCTTTGTTTTCCAGCCAGTGTATGAAAACCAGATATTCCAACAGAGCGGTTGTGAAAGATGGGAGTTGTTAAAACTGCATGAAATGCATACAAGTGATAAGGATTTATAAACTAGCGGCTTGCGATTAGTCTATCGGAATGTGCTGTGCTGTGTCAATTTGCAGCAGTATGAAATGAACTGCCAAAGGTGACAGGGTAACTGCAGCTCTCCCTTTTCTAACCATCTTGTTCTCTATTTTTGTTTTTAATTTAAACTCTCAGCCTCTCCTCTGTTATATCTGCTATAGTGTTCAGAAAATTGCTGTTTTGGTAAGACAATTATTATGTTATCAAAATAGCTAATACCTGAGTGCAATTTTTTAAAAAAGGTAGCAATTATTTCATAAAACATGGGATAATTGCCTTCAGAATTGTTGCATACAAATCAGACTCTTCTTGTTTCTTTTTTGTTTTTATTTTCACATTGGTGCTGTTCTGTTCTTTTTTTTTTTTACCATTGCTGAACTTGTGAAGTTCAAACTCATGTGTATGTGTTGTGATTGCAAAGTTCATTAAGGTTGCAGTCGCTAGCTTATTTCTAAATTTTTTTATACCAAAGTGTATCGACAGCTCTACCTTGCAGATGAGGGCAAAAATGAAATATCATGACAACCTTAGCACTCATTTTTGGGCCCACTGTCTAAGTCTCCCAATGTAGCTGACACTGGCCCTATGGTGATCACATTGTGGATGTGTTGGGAGTCCTCTGGGGGTGTTGTCGATTCTAAGGGTATTGAATTTTAAGCGCAGCTTCTTTTTGTGCTGGGTGAACGCAGATGACTTTTTAACAGTTGCCCAATCGGGAAGCATGCTGTAACATCTTGCGTTGTCTCAACACGGCAATTATGTCTACTTGAATGCCATGCGGAATTTTCGCGCTGCGGTAAGACTGTGTGCTGTCTGTTCAGGTTTGTTAAAACATAGCCACACTTTTTACCTTTTGATCTGTGCTTAGCTGCCACTTTCAAAAGCTGATTTCCAGACCAATTGCTGTATTACTTTATGCAAAATGATTAATCAATGCAGATTAACCAAGAAGAAACAATGTATGCTTTGGTACTATAGCACCAAAACATCTCTGCCTCTGCTCCCATTTTTATGTTCTCATTGTTTTTTTTGTTCGTTCAAAATGCATCTGCCAAAGGCTCTTTCATACCCACCACTAGCGCTGGCTGTGCGACCAAGTTAGTCAGAAGCGGTCGCAAGCTGCGGTTATAGTCCCAAAGCCACTGTTTTGGCTCAATATCTCACTGCCTGATTTTTCAGTTGCGTGACTGCTGTCTCAAAGCCTCTGCACCAATCAGATGCGCAGTAACAGGGTGTCAGCATAATAATCGTGGTAATCGTAATGCGATCAGACGTGAATTCCGCATGTCGACGGGTCTTAGTCGCGCACAGGTGTGAACATCGGTTGCGTTGAGTCACTTTTCAGTCGCAAACGGTCGCGCGACCAGTGCTAGTTGCAAGTGTGAATGAGATCTGTCTCTTGTCTCCGCCCTGCAAAAGGTGTTGCATTTCGCCAGCAATGCTTCTATTTCTTGCATGCACATTTGCTTTTGGCATGGTGCCCTTTATTCCAGCAAAGGCCACTTTTGGATCTATTCTTTGGTTTCGCTCTGGCCTAAATTTAAACATGCGTACCATTGTTGCCTGCTGTGGCAGCTTGGGGAGTACGGGACTAAGCTGCTAACCTCAATGACATGAGGCTGATTCCCAGCCACAACAGATGTATTTAGACGGTGGCGAACAGCAAAAACACCCATGTACACTCAGACCACACTATAACAAAGTCGCACTTGCCCCGACAATACTTTTTTAGATCCGAAAGTTTGTTATAAAGATACATTTCTAATACAGTATACATGACAGAGCTGTTCCTCACTTCGTTATGCCCAATAAGTTGTTATATCTGGGTTTGTTATATGGATGTATAAGTGTAGTTACATTTAGATGCACATAAACGAACCCCTGGTTGCCTGAAGTGTTGGCTGCCGCACTTGCCATCCACGCATTTTTCCCCACACAAAGTTCAACCGTTATGGCTGGAAACCAAGACTGTGTCTTCGTACATGGCCATATGGTTTTATAGCTGCTGAGACTGCCACGTGGGCTATTTTAATAACAACAGGCTGTCTATCATGAATTTGATAACACACCAACCACACTGATCTTTCTGTTAACATTCTTTTGGGTTTAATTTTATAGGCTTGGTTTGTTTAAATTTCTGTACACTGTCATATTTATTATTATGCCTGGTATTTTGTTTATAGAGTTGCAAGAAGAACCCGACAAAAAAAAGTAGCCCTGATTTTGCGAAGTACTTAACAGTTGGTCGCAGAAAAGACAAAGGGCTATATCGATGTCTTGTCAAAATTTTTAAGGAATATATTTATGTTCTGGGGTTGTGGTCATGATGAAGGCATGTGTACTATGCGGAATTCAATGCTCGTACCTTGTGGAGTATATTGAAGAACTTTGAAGTGCTGTTCTGTTATTTTGTGGCACTTATGTCTCAGTCGGAGTTGGTTTTAGTGACATATTTATCAATTCTGCATTGTTGGTTCGCGTTAAATTTTTTTCAAATTCTTGTTCGTGTTTATACGGTAACAACAAAACGAGGTGAAGAGAAGACTACACAAAAGAGTAACCACTCGCACATTTTGCGAGTGATTGATGTGACCGTGCTGGTCATGTGATTGCATGTGACCATATGATTGTGACAGTTGCTTTCAAGCAATATCACTTGTCATGGTGCTGTGCTTTTATTAGCACCAGCAATCATTCTCTGCTTCATTCTTTGTGATAAAAACGAGTGCAGAAATGGAAGGTGACGTGCAACGTTTGCTACTTGCACCTTTCTCGCTCGCACGACGACAGTATTCCGCCGTGACCATATTTTGTAGCGTTCACGCTCCGTTTGTACCGGCCTATAGCACCAATTTCGCTAGTGCTGACAATGCCGTCATTGAAGTTTAATGCTCATCATTGGTGAGGCACAGAAATTAGTAGAATGCAATGGCTAAACAAAGTTTCATGAACTTTGGTCAGGTTAAAAAGACCCTGAATTGGTTTTTTTTAATGCTTTGTCAGCGTTTAGGCTAGAGCATCATCAAACCATTCGCATCACAAATTTAGTGAAACGTGTACCAAGGCCGCTAAGGACAATTATATCATACCCTCCTTCTTACCTCTGCCTGGCCTCCTCAACTCATGAGGCACACTAGCATCGCTGGGGATCGGCAAGCTCTCATAAGCACGCTCGGCGTTTTCATCTTTTACCGGTCTAGACCGAGATCGCACGCCGACAGGCTGCATGCAGTCTCGGAAGGCATCACAGGGTGTGCCCGGCAGCAGGCATGTTGTCTGGCAAAAGACGAATATCGCAGAGTGGTTCATATGTGCTCTGACAGGGACCGCCACCCTATCAGCAGATCTTACTTCTGCGCATTCTACAGCCCATTACAGCCGATCGGATCAGCAGCAACGGTGATGTGGCTGCTGACGTGCTCTGGCCTCGTCAAGCGGCCAGAGCACGTCACTGTGAATGGGCGGCTGAAAAAGTGTTTGGCCAAGTTGCAACGATCTGCACTGATTCGCAGCTTTAGATGTAATAAACAGCTTACGCAGAGAGCTCAGATCGGTCTCTAAATAACCCTTGGTACTTGGTCTACCGGCCCAATGTGTTTGAACAAGTCGCCGAAACCATTTCAGGGTCCCTTTGAAAGTCTCGTTCTGTTAGAACACAATCTGATCAATTTTAGCGAAAAGAAAAGAATGTAAAAACCACCTTACAGCACCAAAATATTTGCGTCTGCTTGAGATTGCCCAGAAACCTCATGGGTGGTGCTGCAAGAGGTATTTCTTTTCTTGTGTTATCGGTATTGCCAAGCATTTCTGATGGCTAAAGCAGTGTCATATTGTCAAATGTCAAAGGGTAATACACTAGTTTGGCATTGTATGTCAAAATACAAGACAAATTGTTTTTGTTTAATGTCCGCATCTGCTTAAAATGCCAATTTGATAATATGCAATTGAATATGTGCAGTTGCTCTCTAGCTGGCATGAATTTTATTTTACACATGAAAGGCAGGGAGAGCTGGCATGAATTTTATTTTAGACATGAAAGGCAGGGGCACGCCATGACTGTAAGACAAGTTTTTTTCGTCACGCTTTTTTTTACTGTGATCGTGCCAGGCATGGCGTAGTACCATACAGTTTAGTACCTGATTGATTAACATAAAGCCGCCATTTCAGTCGTGCTTTCTGTGGGAGATTTGAGTACATTGTTCATTTTACGCAGTGATGTGCTTTCTTTTTACACTCTTAGTGTGCTTTTTTATATTCAGCATTAAAGTTTCTTGTTAATGCTGTTGTTGGTGAAAACTTCTCTGAATGCCTTGCGACTGATGTTTGTTGACCAGAATGCATGGTGCAATACGCTTGGTTGATTACTCTGTGCTGGAAGTATTGGATATCTGATGTTGCTGATTAGGCCATGTAGTTTGTCATCCTGACAAAAAAAGCTAAGCTGAATATCAGGGACAACCTATGAACTTTGTGTGCACTTGAACTGCAGACGTCTGCACGGGCCATCATCTTGACCTCGGTAAGAGAGCCATGTTGGCTGGAGTTTGTTGTCAGCTTGTGTTTTCTTTTATCTGCTATTATAAAATGCCAGGCTTATCAGAAAATAAAACATTGGTGTTCTTACTATGTCTCGTCAGCATCTTATAAAAATTGCCATAACATTCACATTTGAATCCAAAAGCAGTGACAAAGATATTTACAGTGTAAGCCAAGTGTCCTGAATATTTTTTACACTCATTCATTTCAATGGAGTCACAGTAAAGAAAAACTCAATATATTCTTGGCATGTGTCAGTATCTTATTAGAGCATGAACATATGACCGAATTTGCCCATGGCAAAGATTAGTTCATGCATAAATGCTCGTGAAGAACCATACTCTTTACCTCAGGCATAAAATTTCGCCTCTGCAACCTTCACATGTACAAACTGCTGACATTTGAAAAAAAAAAGTCAGTTTCGCCGCAAGGGCGATGCAATGAATGCGATAGCAACAACTTGGAATATAACACTGAAAACTGCGAGTAGATCGAAACGTGCAGCGCGCTGCTCACGCACAAATGACGCAGAAAAGCAACATACACAGGACGAGAGTGAACAGCGTTTACCGCTTGACACTGAACGCACTGTCAAAAAACAAAAACGACGCACGAAAGTGCGAACTAACAAGTGTCCCAGTTGTCATACTTCGCTGTGTATGAAAAGCGCGCTCGTTTCGCAAACGGGGCCTGTGCAGTGAGCGAAGTGACCTTTGTGGGCCTGGAAACTAACGCAATCGTTTCGGTGAAAGCCGAAAACACACGATTTTCCCCACCGAAGGATAACCGCGTGCGCACAAGCATCTAACCCCCAACCCCTATTCGCGGGGCAAAGTACGCGGGGCAGATTATCGCGCGTCGGCGCATCGTGACAAGCTTGCTGCCGAGCGTGGGACGGCTTTCTTTTTTCTTTCTTGAGCTTTTATATATACAGATACGTATACTGAGGTGGCGACGGGCAAAAAGCGAGCCGAAGCTGATCATATAGTTGCTATCGGAATGAAAATTCAAAAAGCCGGGATGGGAACTGATGGTTGAGCCTGACCACCTTGAGCAAAATTAACGTTATAACTAGTGTAAATGAAGTGAATGTAAAAATTATGAAAAATTGAAGAACAGCGAATGTTGTGCTGCAGTCACTGTTTCAACGGATGTACTTCTCTTCGTCAGAGCAGCAGGAGAGGACGCCAGGTCCCTTTTTTGAATCACTGCCTACGAATTTTTATCACTTCAACAAAGAACGTAGCTAAGGGTGTTGAACTCGCACCCTATAAGTGTGTGTGTGTGCGTACACGCACACACACACACTTATATACAAACACACGCAAGAACACACATACAACAGAATAATTTGCGCCCCCTCCCCCTCGTGAAAAAAAAAAAAATCCCGCAAAGCCGTTTGCTAAGCAGAGGTAGGAGATAAATCCCCAAAAGGCGGCAAATGTCATGATGGATGGATAGATGGATGCGAAATTTTATTTCGTGAGTTTTGAGGTGCGCAGCAGGCGTGGCCGTGTAGAGCGTCACAATATTATGTTAACCCTGGCATCATTTTTTAAAGTTACTTTTGTGTGTCCTGTTATTACACTGTTGCCACAAAAAGCTACTATTACGTTCACAGTATTTGAATAAAAAACTAAGCATAAAAACGACCATGTCAACCAATTTACAATATTGTTTAGTTACTTTGGCGAAACTTGCTGGTTTATCACCTGGCAACCACTGCAGAAGCGAAATTCAGTTTTTGTTGTATCGCACCGCCGTCTCGCTATCTCAGCCGAAACCCAGTCTTCGTTAATTTTTCCTGGAAAACAGCGCTGCTTAAAAACACTCTGACTTTTCTTGGTGTGCTTTAACAGTTTTATCCTGACGTAACAGGAGCAATAACGTTGTGTAAAGCCTCGAATAGTACTATTAGCGGCACCGATCATGCGGCAGATAGAGGAACCCGGTGGGTTTCAGTGGCAGCAAGTTGATTGCCGGCCATGTGGCGCGCGCTTGTTATGATTGTTGTAGCCGTGGATGTTTAGCGTTTACTGCGGTTTACGGTTCGTCACAGGAATAGAAGCGAGTGCACCTGTGGCGATGGTAGACGCTACTTGATCGCAGCGCAGAACCTCGCTGAGCTGGCGTGCGTGACGGTCTGCGATGAGCTTGAAGCGGATTTTCCCGTTTTCGGAAGACGACGTCAAGTCGAGAGCGTGCCTCGATTCCACGGAAACTTTTGTCTTGGGAGACGATCAATCGTGAGTTCATTCGTTTGTGATGGACAGATCACGGTCCTTGTCATATCGAGACCGCTGCGCATTGCTGTGCTTGTTTGTTTCCGCGCGGTGTTGTCAACTCTACTAAAAACGGTATTTTATAGTGTTTTCAGCCTCTTAATCTTCGTCGTCCAATAACGATGAACTGAAACGCGCTACGGATGTCGTAGTTGCATCACCGTGATGTCACCAATGTTACGAATATCATCGATGTGTGCGCGTAAGGACGCCACGCCCCCTTTTTAAAGGGTTCCAGCAACGGAGCGTTGTCGCATGCCGTCTCCGGCAACTAAATGAAGGTTTCCGTCAATTTGTCTGGCTGATATCTACGGCCTTATAAGTCATGTTCCAGATTGGTCGCAAAAGGAAATACATTCAAGTGTGTTGTTCCATATGCGTGATATTGGTCGGGGTCAGAGAGCCCAATGGGGATCGCATTTCTCGGTCCTGATTGGCTCGTTCGTGCGATCCTGCGGAACGGAGCCAATCAGGTGCCGTCTGGCTTGATGAGCATCAAAAGTGCAGCGTTTTGCAAATGTGCGTAAAGAAGCCAGTGCCGTTCATATGGGGCCTTATTTATCTCGACCAAACATGGTCGTGTGACGGTAGTTGAACGTTAAGACATCTGTTGTGTTTGCTTTTCTTTTTGTTAAGAAAAGCATAACTGTGATGTGTAGGATATCATCAAAAAATCAGATGCATATCACAATGAGAGGGAAAATAGTACAGTCATGTAAGCAAAATCAAAAACAAAACAGTATTTTCACGAAAAATTTGAGCGATGTAGTATAGAAACTTATTCAGGAACCACCTTTAAGGAAACGCCACCGCTTCAAATGCATTAAGGTTTTTCTTTCTATTTCATTTAATGTGATACCGTTTTGACACTCAACAGCACATCTTCACGAAGCCGACGTGAAGCTCCTAGCAAGCTGGTCCTTTATCCAGTGGATTCAAAGATTCTGTTATGTCTCTACAGTATGATTCTGAATAAATTCAACTGGATGAGAAGACAACTTGCCTCCGGCAGGGGCAGTACCTGCAACCTTCGAATAACGTATCCGGTGCTCTACCAATTGAGATAAAGCGGTGCTCGTCCGCTTTATCAGGTACTTCTGTGCCTGTGAATCTGGGAGTGTCAGTGTTTGTTGCTCATAGCCTTGGTGGTTAGCGTGGAACACTTTTCGCCAGCTGGTGTCACACAGCGCGGGATCTCGCTACTGGCTGGCAGCTGACCAGTTAGCCCTCTTATACATAGTGTGCATTGACGCCACCGTGGCCACCATGTCTGGGTACCAGCTGGTTGAGACACCACATGCACTCTTAATCGAACGCGCGGAGCAAGAAACTCTGAAATCAGACTAGTGCCGGTGTCCAGGCTGTTCCTTTTTGTTCACCCTCGGTGCGGCTGGCGAACGGAAGAAAGCGAGGGGAGCACGAAATAACGTAAACAACTGCGTGTCTTCCCGTGCTCTAACGGGCTCTGGTGAGATAAAAAGTCACGTTGGCCGGCAGTGTCTGGGTACCCAGTGCTGAGATACCCGTCTGTGACGTTACGTGAACACTGTATACTACCTGGGGGCATCAACTCTTGCTATGGGTAGAACTGCTGCGGCTGTAGCTAAGTTCGCCGAATATCAGCAGCATTATCCAGTGATTGCAGGTTTGGTCACTGCTGGCGGCGAGCTGCTGTTTTGTCCACATAACTTCTTCACATTATATAATAATTACTCTAGTACAGCTGAAATAGTACAAATAATGTCTCCTATGGCCATAGGCCGGCAAAAAAAGTGGAACTCACTCGGACTCGCTCAAAAATATATCTTGCACTTTGGATCCCACTTGGACTTGGGCTCACCCAAATTTTCCTGAGCTGGACTCACTCGGACTCATACCAAAATATTACTCAGCCCGACTCACTAACGCTCATGGCTCGATCTGAGTCTGAGTGAGTCGACTCGTGGGTGATTTCGCCGACCTATGCCTTTGTTGGCCTAATTGTCTGTTGGTTTTTCATTATGAGTGAAGACCGGTGAAGCATTTTTTTTTTTTGCCAGTCCCAATACCTCTATGTCGAATTTCATGTTAACGTGCTCTTTCCAGAATCCTGGACTCCTTGGCCCTACAACTGGCTGTCACTTCTGCAGGGGCCAGCGAATATGTGGCCATTGTTGGCTGCAACGCCATCGAGACGGCCTTCCATGTTCATGACATGCCACTGTTCAGCCAAGACATGGTTGACTTTATACGACCAAGGTGCTGCTAGCCTGAATTGCACTGGTAGTAGTAGTAGTAGACTGCCGCAGACGGTAAAGTTTGGCTGGTTGGTTTGTGTTTACAAATAATTAGTTAATTCGTTCATTTGATCAGTTTTTACTTGCTGCAGTCTTGCCAGAGCTATTGCAGGAGTGGGCACAGCAATGTAGATCAATTGCTAAAAAAAAGTTCATAATTGCAGTTATAAACATCTCCAGGCAAATAACTGAAATGGTCAGTTGTTCATACTAAGGAAATTGAGTTTGTGTATATATAACAATAATATGTGACGTTTTCGTGTCCCATATGATTATAAGAGATATAAATAAATTATGAGGTCCAAACAATGCCAGTAATGTCCGGATGAACAAGGTTTAAACTTGCTCTTATGTTTTTTCTGTGTTGTTTAACTGCACTTGTAACTATTGTTTCTCCCACTCCTTCCTGTAGTGCCTTTGGGCTCTGAAAGTGATTTTAATGTATAAATAAATAAAATAACTGCCTTTCAGGATCCACACCTTGAGCTTCAACACTTACCTAGACAGTGGAAAGGTGCTGGCTTTGAACCCCACGCTGTAATAACACTCCAACTTTTTTGCTCAATAAAGGCCGAATCTTCATCGATTCAGTTTTGTATTGTTAACCAAATGTAACTAATGAAACCAGGTGTCCAGAAAATTGTTCAGTACTCTAGTTCTGTCTCCCGTTCAGAGTGAGTGTATAGTTTAAAACATCAAACCGCAGACATTAGTGAAATGAGTGCTCTCTCTTACAGGATCTCATTTTCCTATAGTGAAACCTTTGGCACTCACTTTTACAGGTTCATGGCAGACCTCAAGTCTCTCTTCAGCTACCTCACCAAGTTCCAGCAGCTCCCAGTGTATCCCAATGTCATCATACTGCACGGAATTGAGACATACATACAGCAAGCCTCTGAGGTAGGTGCTGACCTGTTAACCAGTCTAGCCTTAATTAGCGGTCTGTAGCGTTGCCTTCAGTGGGCGTTAGTGTCAGGTTATTAGTATGTTTTGGCGTTGTAGTACTAGCATAGTTGCTTTTGACGCACAAAAAAAAAGCATAAGCAACTCCTTATTGAAAGAGAACAATCTATCATAGACAAAGTAAGATGCAGAGTGGGATCGGTGGTATTCTCTTTTCGTCATGTTCAGCACAAGAAGGGCTTCATTGAAAAAAATAGATTGCCTACTTGGGCAAACTGGTGCTGGCAAATGTGGTTGTAATCTCGCATTTAATGTTACATGTTTGCATGTCGTAATAAACACCACCTAGAAGTCACCGCTTGTTTTTGTCATTGCTCTATTGTGTACTGTGCCTGTTTTTCCACTGGATGTACTGAATAGGTATAGCATTAGTCTGCGACAAAGTAGCTTTGTGTTAATCAATGTGCACGAAGTAGGTCATTGTTCTCACCAAAATTTTATATAGGCCTATGTAAGCTGCTTTTCAGTTGTAAAATAAATTCGCTTGGAAGTTGTAGATGCTAAAATTTTCAGTCTTCTTCAATCACAATTCGACAATGTTGCATATACATCAGGGTAAGCATTTTAAGCTGGTTTTGAAGCATTTTTGTTAAGGTGCTTCTGTATATATTTTTTTACATTGCCTCAGTGATTGAAGGGCTTAGATGTTGATTCGCTAAGCAAGTAGACTGACCTACTGATGTCGTTTTTAGGACGAAAATGGGGACCAGACTATCGCAGTTCTTTTTGCACTGGTGCGGGATGCTACGAGTTTCGCCACCTCGAAAAAGTGAGTGCTTGCGAGATTTAGGTCTGTCTGCAGTGTAATACCAGTGTTGGCTGGAATATACACGCCACTTATGCTGTCAGGTGGTACTGATTCTGCTGTTTTGTGCATCGAACTAACAGCACTGTGAACTGTTATCACTGTACTTGTTCTGTCTAGAGTTAAAAAGAATGCTATGTTTCAGATACGATCGAGGGTCAGTTTGAACAATAGGGCCGCCCGAATAATTTGTTACTTGTACACGTTCGTCCAGTGCACTTGATCTAGCACTTCCTAGCTATGAAGTTCACACTGCCGCTACGAATCCCATCAAATTCTATGTAATTGCATGAGTGTGTCATATTAATTAGCACACCAGTAAATTGCCATAAATCCGGACCATCTTGCGAAAACAAACAAAAAGTGCAGATATACAACAAGCTCTCAGTGAAACAATGTTTGTGTGTACCGACTAGGATATGCAAAAGAAGGACAACAAACACAGGAAGCACAACTCATTGTCCTTCTGGGCATCATTGTTTGTGCCCACAGACATTGTGTAACAGCACCCACAAACTGGCCTAAAGAAGAGTACACTCAAACCTTCATATAACCTGGATATAACGAGGTAAATAAAGCATACTCTAGCAGTAGATACAGTGCAAGGGATATACCTTGATAAGTGATTTGTGGATATTGTCACGGAACCCTGACGCTGACGATTGCAGGGACAGCTTGGTGAAGATGAAACTTCATTTGCTGAACTTATGGCCGGTAAATGGGTGGTCACACTGGTTCTTATAGTGGTGAGCAGGGCATCTCACAAGCATTGAAGCGCGTCGGCATTTCAAATATTCCAGTGTTATCGCTAGTAGCAACGCAGGTTCCGGAATAATCTGTTATGTTCGCGCGTAGTCTTAACAAAATGATCTACTACAGTCCTGAAGCTTCTCGAACACTGCAGGCATGGTTTGCTCTGAGCGTTACTCACAGTGTAACAGGGTGATAACAAAACTTGACGAAGAGCTGTGGCAATATAACGAACATATTTTTGTGCAAGATGCTACTTGGTTATAATGAGGTTTGAGTGTACTATCCTGCGGAAGCATCTTTGTTCTTGTTCCCTTTTTTATGCCTGCAGTCACCAGACTTGCCGTTTGCTTGTCACTTGCTGCGATGCTGCATCTGAGGGCCACGTATGTCCCAGCTACGTGAGCCTCCCTTTTTTCCCGCTTCCTTGGCGCTGCAGCAAGTTGGAGAACGGAGGCTTCACCCTCCGTCTGGGTGGCCGTCTTCCGACGACAGTTCGCTTCAGTCTCTCCAAAAGAGAGCTTTGCTTGCAGAGGGTGGACTACTTTTGATGCATCATCAAAAATGTTTGTGCTCGACTCTGTCACTGTGCTAATGAGCGGTGCAATATATAATGTCGCACCACCCAGCCCGGTGACCGAATCACTATGTGGTCTGACATTGCTATGTCGCACCACATTACTATGTCACACCACAGGCCGAGTCACTTTGTCTCGCCACTATGTGGAGCGAGTAATGTCCCACCACTCAATAGCACAGCGGCCGAGTCACTATTTCCCGCCACTATATGGTGTGACATTACTATGTCGCACCACCGGCTAAATCACTATGGCCCTCCACTATGTGGTTTGACATTGCTATGTCACACCACAGGCTGAATCACTATGTCGCACCACTATATGGTGCAACATTACTATGTCGCACCATATAGTGGTACGACATTGGTGCGACATAGTAATTCACATTACTAATTCACAATGGTGGCGTGACATTGTAATACACATTACTATATATCACCACATGCTGAATAACTATGGCCCACCACTATGTGTTGCGACATTAAAATGTCGCACCACATAGTGGTGGAACATAGTGATTCAGCCGTGATCCACAAAGAGGACAGCATCTTCACTCTCTGTCAAAATGGCTGCCTTCCGACTGTTCCGTTTTTTCTTGTCTAGGAAGAAATTTCGCGTGCAGAAAGAGTACTGTACTTAACGACACTGTCTGCGATTGTCTGCGATTGTCAGCGACATTTGTCCTACACTTGATCACTGTGCTACTTAGTGGTGTGGCGTAGTGACACGTAATAAAGCGGTGATCTACTTGAAGGATGGCAGCTTTGCACTCTGTCAGAATGGTTGCCTTTTGACTGTCTCCTGTGTCTGCTTGTCCACTAAGAAATTTTGTTTGCAGATAATCAGTGGCACCTAATAATACTGTCTACAATCCTTTTTTGTTAGGCTGCAGTGTTCTGCGTTTGTGTAAAAGAAAGAAACATAAAGTTGAACTCTCACTAGGATAAAAAATGGGTATTTCACTCTCATATAGTTTGGCTGCTCGAAGAGACATAAATCTATCAAGTATACTTAAATGCACCCTGCTTGCAGAGTGTACACTTGTCTTAATTGTGCTATGTGCAATAATAAATAATGGTATTTCTTGATAACAGTGCAGTTCTACAGCTAAAGCAATGAATTTCATTGTAATCAACAACTGGAACCTTGCCAGTTTCTCAAGACGGATATCTTCCGAGAGGCACCTACCTGCCTCAGGCAGTTGAGGAGTGCCTTGTGCGCACAAATTGTAGACTACTTGGAATGGTGCAGTCTAGAATATTAAACGAGTTGTATTGCTGCATCACTGAGCAGTCCAGATGAATCGATTTGTCATTGCGGAGTGTATGTTTCATTCTCTATCAAAATCGCTGCACTCCATGAATAATCTCAAATAACAGTCTTTCCTAGAGGAACCTTTGTCTGTGAAGGGATTTTTACAGTTATTTATAAAATTACCGGTCGGTGTTAGAATACTATGTTGTGCTGGGGAATCACAGAATGTGCTTGAAAGTGAGCCTCCATCGAGATGGCAGTACGTGATGCATTGTATTATTTATTATGCATCATGTTAATAATCGGAAGACTGTAGACTGAAAAAAGTGTTGGGCTTAATTTATTCTCTCGCTTCATAAGGCACAGTTCTTTCATCTTCAGTTGCAACACCGTTGATAACAAGTCAGCTGCTTCGTTTCAATAGAGCTGGCTACATTCTGACAACCATTTGCAGTAGACTCTCAGTAAACGGAAATCTGTTTAACAGAACTGCTGCTTAAATGGAACAAATGCTTCTGACAAGATTGGTTTCGTTCTTGCATTGTGCACCCCTGTTCATCTCTCAGTAAACGGAACTCCCATGAAATGGAACACATTTTACTGGTCCCTTCAGGTTACGTTTAATGAGAGTCACCTGTACATGTCTTTTCTGGTGGAGGTTTTACCTTCAAACAGTGAACTAACTGCATTAGACAGTGCTGTGTGTTATATGTGGCTTGTGTCACGTGCTAAACGACTGTGCAACTGAATGCATGGGTCCTGTGTGCTGTGTTATTCTCACATTCTCTGCTTACACAAAATACTCGACTGGTACTCGTGTTTTAAGTATGTCTTTCTTAATAACTACATGTTATATGTTAAGAAAAGGTAGCATGTTTATTCATCATGCAAAGATAATGCATGACGATCAATGCATGTTGTCAAAGTGTCTTTGAGCCACTAAAGGTACCTTGTGTGTCTTGTACACTACTAATCATCATACCATATGTGAGAAAAAAATATCTATATATATTTGTATGCACATTTGTTCTGTGTGACTTGTTTGTGCGCTTGATTCCTTTGATGTGTATTTGTCATGATTACGATCTTCAAGAACACAGCATATTTTATTTAAATAGATAACTTTGATGAGTGACGGTCTTCCAGCAAATATCGTAGGTGTTTGAGACAAGGCACTTTTACATTACAATTTGTGTAGAGAAGTTTAACAGCATACATACCACAACACACATCAGTTTATTTGTTTTTCAGAAAAGATAATTATAAAGTTATGCGCTTTTAACTAATTAAAATTTACACCATCAAGTAGCTTGTTGCAAACATTATTTGTTTTATATAAAATTGAGTTGGAACACCAATTAAGAGCAGCTATTTGGTTACTTCATTTAATTTTTTTATCACCAAGAGAGTGCCTTTAATCGGCCTTTTTGGGGTAAGTAGTCTGCACATGAGTGCTAGCGTTGACGACGCAAGCACCGTAAGTTTTGGTGGCCAAATTGAGACTACTGGCGTGGACCAAGAGACATCTGGTGTCACAAATTCGCTAATGTTCTCCCAAAGAAGGGCATGAATGCAGGCCTACGAAATGGCCTGCCGGTGCGCAGAGGCCAAGTTCGGAGGCCATGGACCACCAGTTTCATTTTTGGCGATCTCCAATGGAGGTTCTTTTCGGACCCGGAAAAGGCCCATTCCAAAGTGTGATTTGATCTTGTTTGGCATGGCACATGCACATGTGTTCAGAGAGAGATGAAAATCAGGACGTAGGCCTTGGACAGAGTGTGGTGTTCTCCATATGGAAGTAGCGGTTCCCCGTTTTCAAAAGTGGCAACCTCTAGCTCTTGACATATCACCCATAGGCACGTGCAGGTCTTTCCATTGGTAGAGTCAATGTGGGTGAAATTTCACCAGAGCACCGCCCGCCTCTTCTCTATAGTGACTTGTTTGATGAATTGGTTCATTCAATTGGTAAACTTAGTGCAAAAACCAAGATGAGAGAAGTAAAAGTGCAACTCTACCACTTTGGCTCTTGCAATCAGAACACAAAGCAAAGATAAGGTAGTAGTCCCTCTTTTGCCCACCCTGTACCTACACCTAGAATAGGAACTATCTTCAGAAAAGTTCTGGCTATGTGATAGAGGGTTTATGCAAAAGAATGCAAGTGTTGCCCTCCCGTGTCACTAATTTATGCCCAATGGCATAAATTACATAAGCTACAAGGTAATGTACATAAGCTACAAGCATAAGCTACAGGGTACTCTAGCGACAGTTGTAGGACGTTGAATCATTGCGAACACCATTAGAAAAGCACTTATAAGTACCCATATTAACAAGCTTATTCCTTTCATATGTAGCACTCTATTAAGCAAGACAGCATGTCGGGCAATACATGCACAACTACTTTATGTATGTCTTTATTGTAATCATCCAGTAAACATTTGGCATATTTAATTTGAGTATGACGAGTTCATTCTGCATTTACTCACTCATGCAGTGAACAGAGCTTGTAGGCGCTCACTTTCATCCTTTTTTTCACATATCTTTAGAAGCCCCATTGATAACTGACAACCCAATCTGTATCCAGCAAATAACGTGTGTATTTGCTTTCTTCTCCATACAATCTGAATATGTACTCTAATTTATGAGAATTGGATAAGTCTTCCTGAAGTCAGCAAGGTGTCGTATTGGGCTAGTTATCTTTGTTTAATTTAAAATTCTGTACTACAGTTACTGAGACTAAAGAGGTTAGTGAGGACACACGTTATGAAGTATACACAACAAGCGGTAACGCCGTGTATGCTTCGTAATGTATGTCCTCTCTAACCTGTTTTGTCCCAGTAACTGTAGCGCAGTACTTTAATCATCTTCCTGAAGAGCTATTGGCTGAGGCACAGGCCAGGTTTGTAGCCCCAAGCTCGCGGGAACTGCATTGACACTTTCAAGCTCAAACCTGGAATGGGAGAAGCAACTAGTCGAGAGCTTTGTTGGCCATTAAAATGATATTTGAGTGCGCGATTGTTCAACTCATAGCTGCAAGATGGTACTACCAATACTTCTTCCGGCTTGTGCGTTTTCATTATATTTCAACGTTCTGCTAATGACAGTGCTCATCATCTCGCAAATGTGCAGTGTGGTGGTCAGACATGGACGTAAAAACGGGGACTAGTGCATGTAACTTTTCTGCTTTTCACAATTTTTCTGAATGGTTTTTATGGATTCTGTGATGCTTTGCACTATCCTTGAACAGAGGTGAATAATACAAGGGTGTGTGTGCATCTTTATATGGGGTCGCCCAATTACTGATGTTTTTTGCGTGTGTTTATTGGTTTTTGTCCGAGCCATCGTGGTTCTTTTTATTTTCTTATCTTCGTTTTTTTTTCATTTTCCTCCCAAAAATAGTAGGCAAGTTTAAAGTTACTACATATGCTCACATTGGGTAGCATATACAGTAACTCTAGGCACGTGTTGTGCCCCTCTTTTTTGGCAACCTGATTTCCCCTCTTCTGTGTCCTTGTGTATTTGTGTACGCATGACAAATAATAATAAATATTATTGCTATAGTAAAAATAAGAGAGGCAAAGCGTTATTTATACGAATGCCATATGTGGATATTCGAATATGGCATATATAACACTTCACAAATTTCTTCTCTCACCTATTTAGTCTCGGGGTAAATCATTACGGCAGTCTTTCGAAAGAATTGCATTTGACAATTAAGTAGTGAACTCTGTAGGCCAGCGTTGGACAAGTCCCCTTGACGGCTCTGTACAGCATAATCGGCCGACCTGATCAGATTCGGTAACAGCGCGACACACTTATCGCACTCCCACAATCACGGCCCAGAAAAGCTCGGTCGGCGCAGCCGCCCCACTTGTATAAACCGATCCACGTAATATCGGAAGCGGGGTTACGAGATCGACATTGTTTGGGCCCCGCGCCATCCCCGGCTTGGCGCGCGCTTTGGATGTGCCGTCTGGTAATATATATGGCGGGCACACGTCCCGTCGACCGGGTCGCGCGTGTGTTGCTATTCGGCGCGTTTCACGCTCCGTCGAATACAGGCGGGTCGC